TTATTCCTCACACATAGCTTTTAAAAATATATTAGACATGTATTGCTTCGCGTCAAGCTGTTGTCGGCGTAGCTGCAGCTTTTAAGAGATGCAATCAGCTGATTCCGATCCACTGCAAAGAAGCTTGAGATGCAGCAACGCGGTCAATGCCCTCTTGCTGCGTTAGGATTGAGGAGTGTCATGATAAACAATATCGGACAAAATACATTGTAAGTTGCTCTGCCGTTTTTGTTCGTAATCCTAGAAACAAAGAGATCCTTGTTTTTTTGCTATTTCTTACAGCGTTAAGGTTGACGACACTCATGTATAACAGTATGCGGCAGACTGTATCGTAAATTGCTCTGCGATTATTTTTCTTATTCCTAGGATCCAAGACTGTTATGATCGATTATAGGCTCATGATATTTCGCACACGTAGCCTTGAAATATTTTGCAGTACTTAGCGTCAAGCTGTTGTCGGAGTAGCTGCAGTCTGAAAGAGATGCAATTAGCTTATTGCGACCCACTGCAAAGTAGCTTGAGATGCAGCAACGCGGTCTTTGCGCTCTTTTTTTTACAGCCTTAAGATTGAGGAGCGCCATGGTTAACAACATCGGACAGAACGCATTGTAGGTTGCTCTGCCGTTATTCTTTTGTATTTTTAGGAGCAAAGCGATCTAAGCTTTAATGATATTTTTGACAGTGAAAAGATTGACGACACTCATGTATAACAGCATCTTGCAGACTACATCGTAGATTGCCCTATCGTTATCGTTCGTATTCCAAGGATTGAGATTAGTTGGAATCGATTATTGGTTGATATTATTTCACACATTGCCCTAAAATACATTGGATTTGCATTGCTTCGCGTCAAGCCTTTGTCGGCGTAGCTGCTGCTTTAGAGAGATGCTATCAGCTGATTGCGATCCACTGCAAAGTAGCTTGAGATACAGCAACGCGGTCTATACGCGCTTGCTGTTTTTATCAGCGTTAGGATTGTGGAGCATCATGATTGAAAATACTAGTGCATCGAAGATAGTCTTGCCGTTATGTGTTCTATTACCTGGAGCAAAGCGTCTTTGCTTTCATGCTGTTTTTAACAGCGTGGAAACTGACGGCAGTCATGTATAACAAGTTCAGTCAGAACGCATCGTAGGTTACTCTTGCTGTCAAGAAATTGTCTCGATTTCATGACGAGAACCAGTAATTACCGTATCAGGTAAGGAATGGTGTTGCATCATGTGTTTATGCATATGGTGACAGCACATTCGAAGAAAGCGTTTCATCTGATTGCATGATACAAGTTGGGATAGGCAGGATCCAAGTTCGGATGGGATACGAGGCTATGATTAGCGAAATTAGTAAACGAGCCTTGAAGAAAAAGAAACTTCAAAAAATCGGTTGCAAGTAGCTAATATATCGCTAACTAAGGACCTAAATAAATTTACTTTGCATTTTGCTATCTACTGCTCAAGCATCCTTTTCAATAACTCTGCCGTTAATTTTTGTATTCCTAGTAGCAAAGCGATCGATCCTTTCATGTTAATTTTTAACAGCGTTGAGGCTGACGACAGTCTATATCACAGCATCTGACAGAACGCAACGTAAATTGATCTTCTTTTACTATTTGTATTCTTAGGATCCAAGTCAGTTGGGATCGTTTATTAGCTCACGATATAGCCTTGAATTACATTAGACTTGCATTGCTTCGCGAAAAGCCGTTGTCGGCGTTGCTGCTGATTTAAAGAGATGCGATCAGATGATTTTGACACACTGCAAAATAGCTTGAGATGAAGCAACGCGGTCAATGTGCTCTTGCTGTTTTTGACGGCGTTAGGACTGAGTAGCACTATGATTACCAATATCAGGCAAAATGTATCGTAGATTGTCCTGCCACTTTTGTTTGTATTCATAGGAACAAAGCGATACATGCTTTCATGTTGTTTTTGACAGCGTTAAGGTTGACGACAGTCATGTATAACAGCATCTGGCAGACCACATTGTAGATTGCTCTACCATTATTGTTCGTATTCCTAGGATCCAAGACCGTTATGATCGCTGATTGGCACATGATATTTTGCACACATAGCTTTGAAATACATAGACATGCATTGCTTCGCGTCAAGCCTTTGTTGACGAAGCTGCTGCTTTAGTAAGATATGATCAGCTGGTTGCAATACACTGCAAAGAAGCTTGAGATGACGCAACGCGGTCTATGTGCTCTTGCTGTTCTAATTGTGTAAGGATTAAGGAGCGTCAAGACTTACAATATCGAGCAAAAGAAGATTGTCCTGCCACTATTGTCTGTATTCCTAGGAACAAAGCGATCTATGCTTTCATGCTATTTTTTGACAGCGTTGAAGTTGACGACAGGCATGTATAACAGCATCTGACATACAACATTGTAAAGTGTTCTATTGCTCGAATTCCTAGGATCCAAGACAGTTAGAATCTGTTATTGGCTCATGATATCTCGCACCCATAGCCTTAAAAGACATAAGCAATGCACTGCTTCGCGTTAATCCGTTGTAGGCGGAGCTGCAGCTTTAAGGAGATGCGATCGGCTGATTGCAACACACGACAAAATAGCTTGAGATAAAAAAGCAGTCTATATGCTCTTGCTGTTTTTAACAGCTTTAGGATTGAGAAGCGTCATGATTTACAATATCAGGCAAGACGCAATGTTAGTTGCTCTGCCGTTATTGTTTGTATTCCTAGTAGTAAAGCACTCTATGCTTTCATACTGATTTCAACACTGTGGTCGTTGAGGACAGTCAAGTTTAAACGCATTAGGCAGAACACAACGCAGATTGATCTTCCTTTTTTTCGTATTCCTAGGATAAAGACAGTTGGGACCGGTTATTAGCTCATGATATTTTGCACATATAGCCTTGAATTAGATTAGACATGCATTGCTTCGCGTCAAGCCATTGTCGGCGTAGCTGCTGCTTTTTTTCTTTTCATGCGTTTGTGACGGTTCCAAAAGACAACCGCGCCAAGCTTGATACTCGAACCGAGCTTTACATTTTTATTGGAGCATTACGAGCATGAAAAAGTATACCGATTCAAAAGCATAAAGAGTGGTCGTGTGGTAATATGCCGTGATGTAAAGTTTCTCGATGACGTCTTCGATAGTGGAAGTCATGATTATTATTGTGATTAAAGTAACTATGAAGACAGTGGAGATACAGATGGAGAAACACAAGTAGAAAATTAAGACAAACACACTGAAATGGATAAAGACAAGGATAGTTTAGGAACCAAGCGACATTCTCGTACGCAATCGCTTTGAAGACACCAGAGAGACTCCTAGTGCAAAGCTCTTTGTTCAGCGCGATAAATTTAAAGGCCTCGTTTAATATTAACGACATCAGCGAACACAATCGCATGAACAGTAGCCGGAACTTCCCAGTGTCAAG